ACTTCTAAATAAAAAATAAAACAAAACTTGAACATTCCTTTTAAAAACTTTTAAAATTTGGCCAAATAGGATATAACCCAAGGAAATCACTGTCACCGAGTTTCCCAGTCACTCAGGACTTCCTCATCAGTCCGTGCCTTGGGTCGGTGGCTCTCCCACGTTAGTGCGCCTCAGCATCACCTGACAGCTGTTAAAACAGCTGCTGGCCCCCGCTCTCAGGCTTCCAAGGCAGTTTCTGTGGCCTGGGTGGAGCCCAGGAACTTGTATTCCTCAGTTCCAGGGGTACCACTGCTGCTGGGGCGCCCACTTTGAGAAGCATAACAGTACTACCGTCTCTTGTCCTCATCTCACGTAACTTCTCAGATGCCGCAACACTGGGGACCACTCCTTAGACTTCTGAAGGCCACTCTTCTCTTGCTTTCCCTGCCAGCTCTCCTTTTCTCCATTTTATATTCACCCCGATGCTCCCTGGGGTTTGAATCTAGGCTTCTGCTCCTTCCCCGCAATTTCCTGAGCAGCCTCGTTCCGCTGAAGCCTCTGGTCCCACGCACATCTGGTTACACCCAGCCTGACAAATGGGACTTCCCGAGGACGCAGTCCACTGCTCACAATTGCACCGCAAGTGACAAGTGTCTGCCTGGCATGTAGAATGTGCCCAATAACTATTCGTCACAACTTCCTCGTGGATGTTTCTAGCGAAGTGTTCCACAAGCTGGCCTCCAACTGAAGCTAAATGTGTTCAGAAAGAAATATATCAAAGTACGTATAGTACATAAGCTAGATTCTTCGCCCACCTTTTCAGTGGTACTGTTATTGTCGAAAGTGTGTAGTTATTAATATCAATAACAGGAAGAGAGCAAAGGGGACCAGACATTATAAGCATGGCCACCCGGGCAGCTTCACCAGGAAGCTATGGCATCACACGCCCCAAGAAACCACCCGTCCCTTCCCTGCAGGTCACTGGGGGAGGTGGGCACCTGCACAAGAAGTCAGGTATGCGGGGAAGGCGCCTGCCTTCAGTCTAGCCTGGGATTGGCTAGTGGAGCGAAGCCCCTGCAAGTGTGCAAATCCTGAAAGGCTAATTGGTGAAGCTCCTGACTGTAACCCAGACAGGGTTCCCTCTCTTGCCCACGAGACTCTGGACAGTGGCCTCAATTCTGCCTCCACTGAAGACAAGATTAGACTTCTTCCATGGTGAGCTGGACAAAGATGGGGCCTTAAAGGGGAACCCCCTTAATTTCACATCAGCAGTAATGCACTCCATGTGATGCCATCCTGTGAGGGCTCAGGAAATTCCTTTCCCCACAGCACCCCAAGAACTGCACTCCCACCGGCAATAGTACCATCGTGCACCCATTCTGTGAGATCTAATAAACCGAAGGGTCATCCTCGAGTCCTCACCTGTCAAACACCAAGTTGTGTTTTCACCTTCTAGACTTCTTCCCACTCCATCCGTTTCCCCCATTCCCGTTGTCTCCGCTAGCCCTCTCTCACCGGAATGCCCAGGGAGCCTCCCTCCCAGTCCTTCATACAATCTGCCCCCACTCGGCAGTCAGCGGGGAAGTCAGATTCTCTCCGGCCACACCCCGCCCGGAAGCCTCGTCCCGGAGCGAACAGCCCTCAGCACAAATCTAGTCTGACTGGGACCTTCTGACCCTCAGCTGTATCTTCCGCTCTTCTCCACCCACCCTGTACTCTATTTCATTTCCAACTTAACTCACACTCCATGCTCTTATTTCTGAGGGTGGATGGAAAGGGGACTGCATACTAAACCTGACAAGGTCAGGGGAGGCCCACACGATGGCCTTACAGACTCAGAGACCGAAAACTTCCTAACTGAAAACGAGTCACGGCAGGCAGGCATGTCCTGCCCGCATCTTCCCTGACAAAGGTCCATCTTTACCTTCACTGAGCCTGTCTGTTGTCCTTTTGCAGCTACAGTAACATGCCTTTGGAATGTCAGACCCCCCCACTACCCTGGAGCAGAGAGCACACATCCCCATTGTTAACTGTTCACCACCCGTACCCACCGTGTAAAAGTATGTCTGTTTTATCCAATCCCAGAGATTGCTTTCTCCGGCCTCCCTAATCTATCACCAATGGATTTCATGTAACCCCTTCCGCCGCCTTTGATTGTAATGTACACAATAAAATGCCATTCTCTGGAGCATTTTCTCAACCCGCTAAGATTCTGCTTCCTGGTAATTGCTGTCAGTTTGGCTCAAATTCATCAAAGTTCTCTACAGGTTTGGACGTTTCTTACGCCAACATGAGACATGACTCATGGTGTTTCTTCCAGCTGGAATACTCCTTACCCTCCTCTTGCATATTTTAGCTGGCCACTTTCTATGCAATTTTTAGTCCCTAACTTAAATTCACATCCTCCAGGCAGCCTCCCCCTCCCCTTCCAAACCAAATCAAAGCAACCCTCCCCCCCTTAAGTTAGGATGGGTCTGCCTGTGTCCCCTAACAGGGACCCTGCACGTGCGCAGCACCACTGGTCTAATTTCTGCCGAATCTGCCTTTTTGGGGCGAGGCTCCTATCTGCGCAGTGCTGGGCCCAGAGCTCGGACCGTCCTGTTTGTCAAAGAAATGGTCCACCAGATTTTGGGGGTGAGGGGGTTGGGTAAAAGTAGTTATTCAAGAACCACTTTAAAAGAAGTGTTTCTGTTCGCGGCAGTCAGTAGCAGTGAGGGCTGGGCAGGGGCACGAGGGACACGGGGATGATGGACCTCCGGCAGCTGTTCTGGGTGCTGGTTATATGGAGCACACGTGGGTGAAAAATTCACCAAATTGTGCCCTTGAAGAACTTTATGTACGCAAGTCACTCCTCAATAATGAATTATCTTAAAATATAACTCATATGGGGACATAAATATTCACATGGGCTAAAACAATTCATGTGGGATGTAAAAAATTCAGTAACAACCAAAAGCAAAGTTCCTTAAGATGCTAAGTATTTCCCAAAGATCCAGAATTATAAGCACAGTGAAGTAATTCCTTAAGTCCTTGTTTTGAAAATGTGATTGTTTTGGATCTGCTCCACCTCACTTAAATCCGAGACCCCAAAATCTTGTTAGGGAAAGAAATGATTGCCAAGTCATTCCTCACAGAACGGCATATACGATTTAAAAACCCCGTTTCACTGCTTAGCGAGGCTGGAGTTGATGGTGGGCAGTCTGCACTTCAGCGCCTGAGGGGTGTGACCCGGCAGTGCCCCGGGGCAGCTGCTGGCTGGGCCTGCGTCACTGCCGCAGTCACTGTGCCCACAGTCCTCTTCACGGTGGAGGGACCGGGCCGTGCGGGATGGGAAGGAGCCCTGCTGTCCTGACTTCGGAGGAAGGAAACTTTCCAGAAAGTTGCCAGGAATTTAGGGGCTGTAACAAAGTACAGGAGTTCAAGGCTCGTTTTCTAACCAGGAGGCAAAGGCAGAGCGTGGGAGCTTGCTTTCTGAGTGACTTCCCATGGGTCCCTGCTCCCTCCCATAGGTCCCTGCTCCCTCCCATAGGTCCCTGCTCCCTCCCATGGGTCCCTGCTCCCTCCCATGGGTCCCTGCTCCCCACAGGGCAGGCGGAGGGAGGCTGTGGGCTGTGGGAGCCCCAGCACTGAAGCGGCTGCCGGTGTTGGACAGAGCGGGGACCACGTGCCTCCAGCACCACGAGGCAGAGCCGCTGGCCACTGAAATGGCACTTCCGGGTAGCCTCCAGCCTCCGGGGATTTTTCTACAAAAGTACCCGCTTTGCTTCTATTCTTGGTATTATTTTAGTCAGAGTTTCACATTTCTTAAGTCTCTATTTGCTGCCGGTATTTTGACACTCAAAAACCAGAGGAGAGAACAATGTAAAAGTCCTGATTATGGAATTTAGTGAAGACACGACTGCATCATCATCATCATCATCATCATCATCACCATCATCATCACCAGGTGGAAGAAAACACTTAAACTCCATGGAACCCGTGCATAGCGGGTTAGCAATGTGGGGAGCAGGCGGCCATCTCGGCCTCACTGAGCAATGTGGCAGCACCACTGCGCCCCTTTTCCTGACGGGAAAACTGAGGTCCCCGGCACCCGCAGGAAGACAGGACACCCCGCAACAGGTGCACTTGTTCCTGATGGGAAAGGCCGGAGCTTTCTCCTAGTACCCCTCGAGAAAGGAGAGACCGGGCCAGGCTGGCGTGGTGGGGGTGAGTGGGAGAAAGGCTGGGCCCGGGTGTGCGCAGTCAGTGACGGTGATGGTGATAGTGACAGTGACGGTGGTGGTGATGGTGATGGTGGTGATGATGATGGTGGTGGTGGTGGTGGTGATGGTAATAGTGGTGATGATGGTGACGGTGGTGGTGATGATGGTAATGGTGATGGTGGTGGTGGTGATGGTAACGGTGGTGCCGGTGGTGGTGGTGGTGGTGGTGGTGGTGGTGGTGGTGGTGGTGATGATGGTAATGGTGATGGTGGTGGTGGTGATGGTGACGGTGGTGATGGTGGTGATGGTGGTGGTGGTGGTGGTGGTGGTGGTGGTGGTGGTGATGGTAATGGTGATGGTGATGGTGGTGGTGATGGTGATAGTGGTGATGATGGTGATGGTGGTGGTGATAATGGTGATGGTGATGATGGTGATGGTGGTGCTGGCGGCCAGCTCCACTTCCTTCTCCATCTCTGCCTGTCCTCTTTGCGCCTTGTTCCCGCGCCTCTGCCGGAAGAAACAAGCCCACAGGACCTGCACCCACGCCCACGCCGCCCGCCGGTCTGCGCTTCCCCCCCCCCCACCCGCATGCCCCGCACCCCCAGGCGGGCGCCGTCGAGCGCCCCCCCCTTCCCCCGGCCCCAGCCCCAGGTCCCGGCTCCCCCAGCCCCGGCTCCCCCGGCTCCAGCTCCCCCGGCCCCCAGCGCCCCCGGATCCCCCAGCCCCGGGGTCCCCCGGCCCCCGGCCCCCAGCCCCCGGCCCCGGCTCCCCCGGCTCCAGCTCCCCGGCCCCGAGCCCCGCGGCGCGGCCGGCACTTACGCCCGCGCTGGGCCCGGCCCGTCGCCCTCCGCCCGCGACAAAGGCCCCGCCGCTCCAGAGCGAGGCTGCGGGACCAGAGGATGGAGGCAGGTGGAGGAGGAGGGGAGAGGGAGGGAGGGGGAAGGGAGGGAGGTGGGAAGGGGGACGGGACGGGGTACGGGACGGGGGCGGGGAGGGGAGAAGAGGGAGGTGGAGGGAAAGGAGGAGGAGAAGGAGGAGCAGATGGAGAAGGAGGAGGAGGGGGAGGAGGAGGAGGAAGAGATGGAGGAGGGGGAGGAGGAAGAGATAGAGGAGGAGGAGATGGAGATGGAGGAGGAGGAAGAGATGGAGGAAGAGGAGATGGCGGAGGAGGAGGAGGAGGAGGAGGAGGAGGAGGAGGAGGAGGAGGAGGAGGAGGAGGAAGAGAGGACGGGCGGGAGGGCCGCGGGGAGGGGCCGCTGCGGCGCCCGCCACCCGACCCCGCGGCCCGGATTCCAGAGGCTCCTCCAGCCGGAGCTCCAGGGCGCCGTCCTTGGTCCGCAGCCCAAAGCCTACCTGGAGGGACCGGGTACCGTCCTCAGGCTGCCTGGGTGGGAGGCAGAGGAAAAGGAGGAAGCGAGGGCGTGTGTGTGTGTGTGTGTGTGTGTGTGTGTGTGTGTGATCCTCTCCATCCGCCCCCGCGGCCCTGGGCGAGCTCAGGGAATGGGGCCGCCTCACCTGTGCCACTCGGTCGGGGCGCTCCCACTGCCTCCGCCATCAGGACCCCTCTCCCCGCTGGCCCAGCGGAGGGAACCGCAGTCCTGCCTGGGGATGAGGATGCGGGGTCCGCGCCCCAGGAGGGGCCGGGGCTGCTCCGCTCCCCTCCGGGCGGGAGGGTCAGGTGGAGGGTGGGGACCGGCCACGCTACCCTCCTCCGCCGGGGTGGGGGGCGTCCGGGCGGCTCCCTCTTTGGAGAAGTAACTGCTGTCTGGCGCAGTCATTGATCCTTGCTGTGAACAGTACCTTTGTTTTTATCTTAAAAACTTTATTATGGAATTTTTAGAAATCAGAAGCAGAAAGAATAGTATAATGAACCCACAAGTGCTCAGCTCCAGCTTCAAACTTCTTCTTCCCTCCCTCCTTTCTTCTTAAAACGTGTATTTATGGAGGTAACATTGGTTAAGGCAGTATATAAGTCTCAGGTGTACAACATGATAGCATCCCTTATAACTGTATCGTGTGCTCAGTCACCTGTCCTGCCCGCTGCGCCCTCCTCCCACCCTGCTCCTCTCTAATAACCACCATTCTGTTGACTGTATCTGTCATTTTGTCTGTTTCATTAGTTCATTTGTTACTTTTTCTGTTTTATATTCTACATGAGTGGAATCATATGGTTTTTGTTTTCATCCAACTAGAGGCATGGAAATGGGACAGACTTATGATTCTCAGAAGGAAAGAAGGTGGGGATGGGTGGGAAGAGATCAACCAAAGAATTATATGTGTACTATCGATAGAAGCCTGGTGCATGGGTTCAGGCACCCATGGGGTCTCTTGGCCTGGCCAGCGGAGATCGGCTGAAACCGGCTCTCCGACATCCCCCAAGGGGTCCCGGATTGCCAGAGGGCGGTTCTCAGGTGACGCACCCCAGGATCGGGCTCCCTCCTCTCTGGTTTCAGGTGTGTCACCCAAGAACTGCCACTTCCAACTCATGGCAGCTCAGCAGCTCCTGCATTGATCATCTGCCCCTTGTGGTCAGTGCGTATCATAGCTACTGATCAGAGCATCTGCCCTCTGGTGTCGTTGTGCATCATAGCTACTGGTTGAACAGTAGGATGGTCACTTAGGCATATATATATATACATACATACACACACACACTAGAGGCCCAGTGCACAAATTCATGCATGGATGGGGTCCCTCGGGGTGGCCTGAAGGGATAGGATCCCAGCTCACACCCCCAGGCTTGCAGTCCCAGCTTGCGCCCCCAGCCTCGCAGCCCTGCAGCCCTGCCTGGCACCTGCTGCTCCCTGGTGCCACCCCCTCACTTACTCCACCATCCAGCCTGTAGGTGATTAATTGGGGCTGCTCCCCCACCTCCCATGGCTCTCTCAGTGCCTGGGAGCCGGGCAGCAGCCCTGTCCCCACTGCTGCTGATGGTTGCCATCTGTGGGGTGATTGTTGGGGCAATCGGGTCCCCACTCGCACTGTTGTATGGCAAATCAGTGAACTGGACAAGTCACCATAATCAGCCCATTCCTTAGAAGTCATCTTTATTGCGTGCGAGTTCAGGGCAGATTACCTCTGTCACATTCTGAACAAACACAGGATGGTTTCCTTTGTATATCCTTCTATGTCTTTGTGTAAGTTATTTTTGGATACAACTTGTAACCTCGAGTACATATCATATCTAACAAACACCTGTCATATCTATACAGACAACTTGTAACCTTGAGTACATATCATATCTAAATAGACACTGTAACCTTGGATGAACAAACACTTGGCAGAACATGAGAATTATCATCAGTAGCTGTGTATCAGCCCCTTTAGATGGCTAGCTTGTAAGGTCAGACAGTTAAGTTTATCTTTTCTATTATTCAAGCTAAAAACAAAGTTATTTTGCCAAAACCGGTTTGGCTCAGTGGATAGAGCGTCAGCCTGCGGACTGAAAGGTCCCAGGTTCGATTTCAGTCAAGGGCATGTTCCTTGGTTGCAGGCACATCCCCATGGGGGGTGTGCAAGAGGCAGCTGATCGATGTTTCTCTCTCATCGATGTTTCTAACTCTCTAACCCTGTCTCTTCCTCTCTATAAAAAATAAATAAAATATACTTAAAAACAAAGTTATTTTGTAATCTAAAAACAACAGATTTGACCTACAGAATAAGAGACTGTCTAAGAGTAACAGAGAAATTCAAATAGCAGTTTTCCAAAGGAGGGGCCGCTAAGCTTCAGCACCTGTCTTGGCCTGGTGCTGCCTGCTCACCTGTTCCACCATCCCTCCTCGGTCCAGCTCTCATGGGGCGATAATGACCCTACCCCCACCCCTGCCAGGCAGTGCATTGTTCACCATTTTTATGGCCTGACATGCCTTGTAGGACCAGTTTCCTCTTCATTCCCGCTCTCCCCCATTTCCCCCTTGTCCCACAGGTCTCAAGGCCCCAGCACATAGGGGCTCTTTAAGAATTTGCAAAGGAAGTCGAAAACACTGTATATTTGAGAGACAAAGATGGTAAAAACATATAAATAGGGAACATTCCTCCATGTTGGGGCCAAGATTTTGAGAGACATTTTCCTCTGGACCTGCGTGTGATACATGTAACTCCATCACTCTAAGTATTGCTTGGTTCTTCTCCGGTTTTCTGTAACAGAAACACCGGTATTCCTCTGGGCAGGACGGTTCCAGGGATCTTTGTCTAATGGAGTCAAAGAATGCAACCATGTTCGGAAGATTGAATAGCAAAGGTGGAATTTTATTGAGAAACAAGCACAGACTCCCATGTGGGGAGGGAGACTCCCACAGCACAGACCCCTATGTGGGGGCGGGGAGAGTCCCACTAATACCATTTTCCCATGACTTATAAAGGCTGCAGTTTTTTGTGCCTCAATATCTCCTCTGATTTGGTCACTATTCCCCTTTAATTTGGTCACTATAGCAACTCCTGACTCAAGTCTCAGCGAAGTTACAGAGGTCCCTCCTTCTTCTCCCTATTGTTCTCCCGTTTCCTCTGCGCTCCTCTTCCTCCCTCTTATTTTGTAACAGTGTGCCTTTTGCTACTCCAGCTCCCTCATCTCACGGAAATGTAACTTCTGTCACTCCCAGCTCCCTTGTCTTATGGAAATGTACCTATTGCAGCTCTGTAGCCCTGTGCTTTTTCCATTTCTAAAATTTCCTAAACCTGCCTATATCCCCCCTAAAAATCCCTTTCAACAGGACTGGCAGGGTGACATTACGGGGATGTGGACCTGGCTGACTGGGTGCAGGTGCCCTTGGACCCACAGCAGAGTTCCTAAATCCTGTGGGTTTCCTGGCTGGCAGGGCTCCAGGAAGTGGTCTTTGAGATGCTGAACAGAGAGTGTTCATTCTCTGCCCACCCTTCCAAGCAGACTGGTCTCAGTGAAGGAACATGGGACCTCTCGCCAGCCTCTCAATGCCTCAGGCCTCTGTAAGGTGCCCCTGAGGACCGTGGGCACAGAGAGGCCCCTGCAGCCTTGGCTGGGGGCCTGCCCTGCACTCAGGGTTAGAGCTGTGGTTCTGTGTGGACTGTGGCCGCCTGGCTAGACTGTAACTGGATGGAGAGCTGGTACCCTCGTCAGCCAGGTCAGCATTCCCATAATGGCCTGTGCATACATGCAGCACTGGTGCAGAGTCCTTCCGATAATGTCCGCATTGTTAACGTAAAAACAGTCAAACCTGTGAAGAATTGTGAGTTTATTTGAGCCAAAATGTCGACAATTGCTGGGAAGCAGAATCTCAAGCAGAATTGGGCTAATGCTCCAGAGAATGGCGGTTTTTCACCTTGTTTTATACACGTAAGTGGGTTACATGAAATCCATTGGTGATAGAGTAGGGAGGCAGGAGAAAGCAAAGGGAGGGGGACCTCTGGGATTGGATAGAGTAAAAGGATAGACAGGCTTCCTTTACTTCGGTGTGTGAAGGAACAGAGCCACATGCTAACCTGACAAGCTCAGAGGAGGCCTGCAGGCAGTCTTGCAAACTCAAGAGACCTAAAATAAACACAAAAGATGGTTTGAAAATTAATATCTAACTACAAACAGGTTATAGTGGATAGTCATATCCTAGACCAATATTTCACCTGACAAAGATCAACTTAGATCTTCTTTACTGACCCATTCGCCTTTCCGCCTCTAAGATAACATATCTGTGAGATGTCTGGGTAACTTGTAACTTCCCTTTTTCTGGAGCCCATGGGGCACAACCAAATATGGTGGGTGCCAGGACAGATGCCTCAAATTCCTTCATTATCATGTTAATTGTTCCTGAACTCACCTAAGTATGAGTCCATCATTTTACTTTTTATCCAATCCCAGGAGTTTCCCACTGCTTTGCTTTCTTCCACCTCCTTAATCCATCACCAATGAATTTCATGTAACCCACCTATGTCCCTCCTTTG